AATCAACTCATCTAATGTTTCATTGCCACTAGTCCATCCTTCAGTTAATAACTTTGGATCACATGATTGACACCATGTCCAATTGGTGTTATATCTATTGCATGTTAGACACTCCTTAAAATATTTCTTTCTTTCCTTTGAATATTCATCATTTTTGTCAGTAGAAGTATCATCATGATGTTTATTTTCATCCAAAATGTTTTCCATTGTGGTTTTTGTATATTCGTAAAAAAAAATTTTTTTTTAAAGAACTTTTTTTTTTTTCCACAAATATGTATCACAAAAAAATATATTAATTAATATTAAAAAAAAAATTAAAATTTTACCTGATGTTAAATCACAAGAAACGAAAATAATAAACCACTAATAACAATAACCTCGCTATACTGCCTTTAAACGGTTATGCATTTTCTCTTTCTGGTATACCGAAAAATATATGGATGTGCCACACCGGGGTAATTATCCAAATTTGAAACAAAGTTTCATTGTTCTGCAGTAGCGGGCGGTCACACGATCAATTTTGCATGTAGAATTTTTTCTAGTGCTCATAATAACTTATTATTTATCTCCACATAAATAATTTACCATATTAATATTAATTAATATGTTTCAAATTTTACTGATATATATTGTAAAGATAATTATTCCATTGAAATTTTTGATCAATATGGATTTTCAGATTAAGTCCTACAGTTATGAATTTTTTCGTCAACAAATCAATAAATACAAATTTCCGCCTGCTAATAAAATTATTCCCACAATATAATTATTTCCCACATATTATTCATTCTTTTTTCACATACATCAAAATATGTTGATATTATATTGACAATGTTTTGGGCCATACTTCATACATTATTATCCTTTGGTTTGGATAGATAACTCGTTCAAATATTACATGAAAGATAAATTCGGACTTGATTTAAGAGAAAACTTATCTGCACATGAGAAAAGATTAACGATTTTTCTCCATGTATGGTTTTACTTCTGTTACTCTTATATTCTGATACATAATTCGTGTATATAACTTCGGCAAAACTAATATACCACGCTTCTTACAAAGTTACGATCAGGACTACTATAATCAAAAATTAAATCTTCCAATCGTACTCACATTTACACATACCATAATTAGAAACGTATATATTGCCTTCAAGACATTTATAACCATTTTGTATTTACAGACAGCTTTACAGTAAATAAGATAAAGTATAACAACATCGGCGTAATGCTATAAACCGACTATTTACCTACAACCATCATGATAAACATTAATGTCTGTTTACTACAGACCAAAAAAATTAACTTATTAATTCATAACAAATCCGTTAAAAAAATTAATGAGTGAGTTTATTGTGTAAAAAAAAAAAGGATCGGATTTAAAATCTTAATGAAATGATAAACAAAAAAAAAACTATGAATGAATTGATTATTGTTTTCAATGGTGTGTAACCCCTCCCTTAAGTGAATCTCATTAATTTATCCCATACGTTCAAGTTTTTCTAATAAATTTAACAAATGAAAATCCTTCATAACTTAAAATGATTTTAACTATAATATTGGATATATCGATGACGATCTGTTGTGCGTGAAAATGAAATCGGTGAATTTGCAATTCACATATGTGAAATTCAATCAGAATTCCATATCCAAAATTTTAATTTTAAATTTCGAGTCACATAATTTCAATTTCACATACAACATTTCTTATATCATTCTAAAACTATTTCCAGTTTTGTCATTAATCCACGACCAAAGATGAAAAGTGGAGTAATTTTGATATAAACAAACTGTAAATCAAAATAATAATAATAATAATAATAAATGTGTTTAATATTCATCAACATATTTTTTTCCTTACATAAAATTATGAAAAATTTTCTAGATATATTGTAATATTATATATAATAGGCTAACGATGAAAAGCACAAGAACTCATTATTTTTCCAAAATCAAATGCCACCAAGTTTATTGACCTGACCAATATAGTATGTAAATGTGATCATTTGATTGGTTATGTACATTTCTTGATATAGCGTAAGCCATATGGATCAACATTTTTATACATCAAAATCACATGCTACGCGTATTACCATCGTTGTATAAAGTGTCGTTTCAAGTGTTGTATCGATGAGATTATTGCGTGCTATCCCGAGAAAATGGGAAGATTTTATTATGAAAACAATTTTCACAGTATATCATTTTTATGAAATATGAGTATCATGTATATCACTATGATAAATAAAATACTCCAGATAAGCGCGACCATCCATACATAACACTTATATAAATATGTCCGAATTTTTAACATCAATCATTAAATTCACTTTATTACAATTTCTAATCATAATACAATAAATTCCTAACAAATTTTTTTGAAAAAACATTACAACATCTTTCAAAAAAATTTTTAAACAATCTTTTTACAATCATGAAATTCTTAACAATCCTATCCGTTTTTTTGGCATTTATTGTCGTTATGACTCAAGCATTACCTAGTGACATCTCTAAAAGAAAATTAGGTGGTGATAATATTATAACACTCGGGGTGAGATTCGAAGGTCTATATGCAACAAAAGTGGCGCAATTGAAAGCTATCACTGAAAGTTATGACAAAGAATTCGCTGATTTTGAAAAAGAAGCACCAATTGCTGCTAAGAAGGATAATTTGACAGGAGTTCCAGAACCTCTTGTGGTATGGTATAATCGTTATTCAGAAGTTGTGGATGCTGTAAAACATAGCACTAGCCTATTGGACGACAAAATCCAAAATTTGAAAAAACTTTTGAAACAATAAACATATCAAATAAATATTTTACACCTTGATTTATTTTATTTCATCTCATCTTTAAACACTACCTATTTTTTAATGAATAAATAAACAGATCAACTAGCATTTTAAATATCATACATAACATAATAAAAAATAATTTTTAATCCATTCATTTTTTTGTGTTCAACTGTTTTTTTTTTTTGTTAATTTTAACCAAAAATAATTCACATTCAATTCAATTCAATTCAATTCTACGTCTCAATCGTAAAGAAATGATTACTAAAATTAAAATTATAGGCAACATGAAAATTGAATTGTTTTATTTTCTATTATGAGACTTTTTTTCTAACAGCTAGTCTTCTCTTAGCAAGGTCAATGTTTGCAACTTTTAATTACAGAACTATTCTCTTAGTTTAACGAGTTTTTTTTTTTCCAAAAGAAATAAGCATATTTGCTAAGCATTAAATGAATTTGACCTTCCACGTAGGGTTTCCTAACCATAATTCTAACCCCTTATTCGAATATTCGTAAATCCAGAAATTCGAATACTCGTAATTATTATGGATACTCGTAATACTTGGATATTTGTAAATTCTTCAGATATTCGTAATTATTTCAATATTTGTAATATTTTAAACACTTTATTAATTTCAAATATTTCAAATACTTGTATTTGTAAATATTTAAATATTTAACAAATCACAGATATACTTAAGAAAATGGTTGAACCATTTTTAAATTATGTTTAAGAAATACCATCTTTCCCACTCGTTCAGGTTTTAGATTAGTCCTTTTAGCAGTAATAATATTTCCTACATTACTAAATAATCTCTCACAAGCAACATCTGTAGCTGAAATGCATAAAATTTTTTTTGCCAATTTTGTTAAAATATGAAAATTATTTTGTTTTCACCAGTGTTGTGACCCGAAACTCTGAGTTTAGGGAGGACCCGAAACAGAAACTAACAGAAACCACCTGAAACTAGTTTAGGTTAGTAGTTTATGCTTAGGTTTAGGTTTAGTTTTAGTTTTCTGCTTAGTGTAAGTTCATTTTCCGAAACGTTTCAGGAAGCCAAAAGAGTTTCTGTCACAACACTGGTTTTCACCCACCATTTAAAAGGATCAATATCATTCCTTACATTACTAGAAAGATAATGTGATATTTCATAATTACCAACCACACCATTATCAGGTGAAAATAGAAACATTATTCAAATCATGCTCACTGTGATCCATTTCATTTTCAATATTATCAATAATAAAATTATTTGACTTTCATTAAATTCACTTTCATCTAATCTATCTTTTATAATCAAGCATCCTTCTTTTAGTTGATTGTTTAATCTGTTCAATCCTTTCAGAATCAAACAATGTAATGTGTTGCTACTTGGAACAGACCAATACTTTTTCAAATTTTTCAATAATTTTCTTACAATAAAATTGGTCTAGACTAGAGATGTGCCGTGCATAGTGTGTTACGCATAGTGTGCTACGCATAAGGTTTTAGATATATTTTTTAGACATTTACTTATTTCTAAAAAAAAATTAAATATGCCATTTACTTTCTTATTATTATATGCGCATTTATGATATTTCTCTCCCTATGATATATACACTATGTGCACTATGCGCACTATGCGCGAAAAAAAATCACGGTTACTATGAATGGCACATCTCTAGTCTAGACATACTTAATTTTTTTTTGTAGAAACTGATACCACTATATTATCTGCAACATCTTCATCTGTAATATCAACAATACCAAATACATCATCTTGTCCTTCAATTACAGTATTTTCATTACCTTCAAATTCTTCAATTAATAATTTGTTTGTAGTTCTTTCTTTTAATAATAATTCATCTAAATTATTTTTTAAAGTAGTTATAGATGGGTAAATCAAGGAAATAGTCACATATGAATTACCACTCATCATTCTAGTAAGCTCTTCAAAACTTTTCAAAATTAAAGTTAATTCATTCATTAATTGCCATTCATCATCTGATAACATCATACGTTCCAATCTTTTACCATCTTTTTTATTTTCTCAATTTTGATCCTTCTTGGTAAATGTTTAATTGCATCTTTTAATAGTATAAATCTCTGCCATGAGTAGAATGAAGAATTCCGTCGTGTAGATACATCCTTTATTACACAATAAACTTTTGTACAATTCAGATTTATTTCAAATATTATATTTTCATAATGATAATAAATTTATCTCTAACAATGAATTCATACTAATCCCATGCATAATTATTTTCTCTTATTTTATATTTGTCTATCATTTTTATTATTTTTTATTTCTTTTCTTTTCTTTTAGTGAGGTAAATATTTAATAAATTTTATTTAGTAGTATTTGGATATGTGCCTGACTTGGTAGTGAAGAGGAAAGAAGCTAGAAGGGTACCCATTAAGAAATGTGATCAAGATATATAGTGCAAAATCTAAAGATATTGTTTAGTATAAGGAATTGTTTGATGATAGTGAAAGATAGTTTTAAGAGTAAAGCATGGATATGCAATCCACAGAAATTGTTGTTATGATTTAGTATAAATAAATAAATTGTATTAACGTTGTTGACATATTTATATATCATGAGATTCGAGTAACACTTTGTTAATTTGTTAGATATTTTAATATCTCACAGTATGTGCAGGAAATTTTAGTTCAACTAACATGTATCAAAAGAGATAAATTTACTTTTGAAAAAAAGAACAAGGAGAGAAACAGTAAGAAAAGCCAAGGAAATTTTTTTGAAATATCAATTTATTCAGTTTTGTCATATACATATGTCAGACTCAATTACAATGAAAAATGAATCAATTTGATATTTGTTAAAAAGTAGCAGTTATATAAAATAATATTCCAATAGTTTCATCACTAATTTAGTTGTAAAAGTTTACAGTATAACAATGTCCCCTAATACCCAATCAAATCTTAACTAGCTGTGTTTACCTTGCAGTTGATAATTTCTGTGCCATCCTGCAAGCAAGCACTCATTAATACTTCATTGAACTTCTTATTGTGCCAGGTTTCATTGGCTTTAATCTGTTTTGAATATTTCATTGCTCTTGTGAAATGTTCATCCAGGTCATTTTTTGTCCCTGTGGCCAATAGCTCAAGTACAATTACATGTTGTGTTTCCTTTGTATATGCAATTACCAAGTTAACAAACATATCTTTTCTTCATCAGGAAATTTTCCCTACTGCAATATTACATCTGTAAATTTTAGTATGTAAAGTTGTAATATTTGCATAAAAATTATGTAATATTTACACTCAATGTAATAATTGCATAATTTTTGTATGCTTATTTGCATAATATTACAGGCCCACCATAAACTTATGTAAACAGTGTAATAATTATGTAAATCCGCGTCAGAAAAATTTCCTGATGTTTGACAATTTTTCATGTGCCATTGACCAGTAATTTTGATATTGAATGGATTTAGCCAATTGTTCAAAATCTGATATAACTCTTGATCATAAACACTTTCACGTGGAACATTTTCATTTTTACAACCATTGACAAGCACATATGCATTCTTATATGAGCAAATCCATGCCCACTCTATCATCTCTTTATCAAATGCAGCAATAAATTTCTTCAGAACCTCTATAATATTAAGTTTGTTACCTTTAAATGGAACTTCACTCTGAGGGCAGTTTGGATAAAGAACAGTGATCACACAACTCATAATCAATTCTCGTAGCAGAGGAGAGGATAATTTGAACAATGAACTTTCATGAGGATGTGGCTGCAAGACTCCTTGGGAAGCAAGAAAATGGGCATTTTCTTCTTCACTCACCATAATATATACATATTCAGTATGTGCTAAGAATTTTGATTGAAGCAAATCCACAGCTTTTTTTGTTTTCATGCTGCCTGAGTGTATTGACCATTTTGTTAAAGGTTGGGTAATCCACAATATGATTGATGAGTGATCCTGATGTGAAATTGCGTAGCCAGGCATCATATGTCAGCAGCATGCTTGGAGGGAAGAGTTGTTTGAGAAGATATGACTCAATTTCACGTCCACATAAGCAGACAAGCCCAGGATGTCTATTGAAAAATAAGTCACAAGTTTAGCATAGATAAAGAACTTCAAATGATATTTCTCTTCACTTACCCTTCTGTTTGTGTGAAGATGTCTTCAACCACTTCTTGTTCAATAGATATATTTTGATTAGACACAAATTCTACAAATAACATTTTTACTTCTTCCAGAATAAAGAATGGATTCTGAATTGAATCAACAATATTGAAGGGTGATACTTGTGCTGGGTTCATATACTTAATGTTAAAGGGGCCAATGCAAACAACTGACTGGATAGCACAATTATTTCTGTTATTCTTGCAACCACAAATACACCACAAGCAAGCATCACAGACATTCGCACAATGTATCAAACTCATCAAACAAAATCACAACTTTGGATTCCCCCCATTTTTTTCGTGAAAATTCTTCAGCAAAGCCAGCAGGCGTATTGATTTCTTTTGTTATTCCTAACCTTCAGCCAAGCTGACTCCAGAAATGTTCCACAGTTGTGTTGGTATCAATCTCTTCAAATGTCACACTGTTTTGTAATACAATAGAAGAAAACACAATTAAAACATATCTAGCATATGCTCAATAGGTAGGTGCAATTTCTTGAGTCATTAAACTTACTAAATACAAGCATAACCATTTTCTTCTAGCTGCTCTTGGAGGTGTAAAATGCGTGTTGATTTTCCAGAAGCTCTTGGACCATACAATAATAGATATGTTCCTTCATTAATTTTCTCAATAATAGTTCTATTTCCTTCAGATGGATCCACAAAATAAACATCTAATCGTTCATTTTGTGTAATTGCACTATTTACTGCCCATTTTTTGCATTTAAGAGAAATCCTGTGATCATATAATACAACCACTTGCAGAAATTAGAGAATATGTACAACAAAATGATGTAAATACCAAATTCTTGCTGCTTACATTTTATCATCACATAATTTTTTCTTGCTTAATGTGGTTACTAAGAAAAAGAAAAGGTTGGTTAAAGTTGTAAGAAGCATAGCAAATGCTCTTTCAAATGAATACATGTTAAACAAGCTGATTAATTTGAGTTATTGTAAATACATAGATATAAAATCAAATGATTCTAGTAAGTTACCTTCATCTTCTGTTTCATGAAAATAGATAGAAGATAATGGGCATTAAGAAATATATATTTCAATAGATCATTGATAGAGCAAAGGAATAAAAAAACATAGGTTAGTCAACACTTCAAAACAGTAATATATATATATGTCACTCAAATGAATAAATAAATAAACAAAATGGAATGAATGGAAAATAATTTTTTGTATATTTTTTTATGTAATTTGTTCATTACCTTTCCCTCCACATAATTCTCCTTGGTACAACACCTTCCACTTTTCCTTTTCTTTTTTCAACTCCTCCTGTTCTTTTTTCAACTTGTCCCTTCGCTCTTCCCACCTTGTCTTCTCTTCACCATTCCACTTCCCCTCCATCAACTCATCTTCTAACTTGTCCAGCTTCTCCTCATTTTTTTCTTCCCACTTCTCCAATTTCTTCTTAGCCTCTTCATACTCTTTAAATGTAATATATATTTTTATCATTTTCAATTCCTTCATAGTTGCCATCTGTAAAATTCAAAAAATTTAGAAAAAAATTTTTTTTTATTGATTTAGATCACAATTTACAATTATATGCATAATTTGGACCAATTATAAATTAGTAGGCACATGACTTGGAATTAAATAAATGACAAAGGAAATTATTCATGTGGCCAATTTGTTCGATCGGCAAAAGAAAAAAATATTAATGACACGTGGGCGTTACATTTTGATGATCATTATTTATTTTTAGATATATATAGTTGGCTCGGTCTAAAGACCTCCTAAATTTTGGGCAAATTTTAAAAGTATAGAAGTCATTTTCTGTCCTACCTTTTAAAAAAATAGCCTCATTAGTTGGTAAAATAGGTTTCTACTTTTAATGTAATGAAGAGTTTTTCTCCAAAAAATTGTTTGTTGTAGAGTTCTATTCTTTTTTAAAACATGTACTTTACTATGCTCGCAAGGAATTTGAGCGCTACGATCATTGCTAAATTAGGAAATATTGTAGCGCTCAAATTCCTTTTATGGTAATGATAAGTAACACAGGATTCAAAACATCCTTCGTGAATTGATTTTACAATATAACAAAGTAGATAAAGACATATACATATCTGTATGATTTATCAGATAATTAGATAATACAATCATGTGACCAATCATTAAAAAAAGAGATGATGATAATTAATCATTTTTTTAAAGCATCTTTGTACTTGATATATGGAAATTCTGAAGAGGGCATGTTTTCCCACACAGGTGAAAGAAAAATTTTATATATATTACACTTTTTAGATGGTTTTTTAGCAACATTGTATATTATTATACATAGGAGATGTTCTGATGCAGTTAATTGTATATATGAAAAACATATTAATATAAATAATTGAGTCAAGATGCAATTAAAAATTGAGATTGATTCAATGCCAAATTAATTTTGACAACATGTATATTATATTGCTCTTTTTTTTTAAATAGGAATTGTGAATGTTTATTGGAGAAGAGAGTAAGATTAGATAATTAACAATCTGTTTGTATGAGGTAATGTAAATAAAAACAAATTAATTATTATGTCAATCCAGCAAATGTAAGTAATTTAATAAGAATCATTGATTATTATATTTGTTTAATTTATTATCAGAAAAATCATTATTATGCGTAATTAAAAAATACTCTAATAATTGAAATTTAAGCAAACTACACTAATACATATAAGTCTGTCATTTATTTATGTTATAAGTACTTTAAACAATTGAAACTTGTTGAGTTTATATCAATATAAACAAAGAAAAATGTTTAACTAATATTAAAATAAACGTTACAATATAAAATAATTAATAATGCAAAATTAAATTGTATAATAATAATATATTTTTATTCGGTAATGAATATAAAAAGTAATTATTCTGTAAAACAAATTAATTAATAATGCAAAATTAAATTGTATAATAATATATTTTTATTCGGTAATGAATATAAAAAGTAATTATTCTGTAAAACAAATTATTTAAAAATGAGTCATTTACTATATCTGTCTGTCAATTTATGGATTTGTGTAATGCACAAATAAACTCTAAAATATTTGGGCGTTTTTGAAAAGTAATTCATTACATGGATGGTGAAAAGTCTTATTAACAACCGTATCTGTTTGTTAATTTTTATCAGTTATGGCAACTTAGAATATGGCAAAAAAGATGTTTTTACAAGTTTTTTTTCATCTTGCATACAGTCACAGAAAAAAACAAGTAATTCATAATTAATTACCATATAGTCTCGAAAGATAGCATCCCCTTTTTACATATGTGTAACAATTTTTTTATATTGATGCTCAATTGTTTTAAAGTAGGGGTGCTATCTTTCGGGAGGTGCTATCTTTCTGGACTTTACGGTATTAAAACTCAAGTAATTATTTCCGAACTGTAAAGAAAAGTTTAAATCTATTTTTAATTGTCATGTTCCATTTTGGCTAATAAAAATTCAATCCTTAAACAGTTTTCTTTAAAGGAAAGTTTCATGTGCTTTAAATTTAATATTTAAAAACTTGTAAATTTTTTTAATCATAATTTTAATTAATTTTATTAAAATTTTAAAAATTAAAATGAATAATCAAATTTTCTACAACACATTTTCAACCTCTTATGCCGCCACCACTACTTCCACTACTCCTCCTCCTACCACCACCACCACTGCCGCTACTGCTACTGCTGCCACCACTACTACCACTGCTACTGCTACTGCCACTACTGCTACTACCACTCGTTCTCGTGTCCGCACTTCCTCTCCTTCTCCTTCTCGTACCCGTGCCCGCCGATCTGTGATGCTCCAAGAACAAATAAGTGGAATTGTGGAGAGAGTAACAATATTAGAGAGACAAGTTCAAGTTCAAGAACGAGAACACCAACAGTTGAGATCGGATCAACTACAGTTGAGATCGGAGCAACTAAACAAAACCCATTTTTACATTTTTATTTTTTTTTTCATTATTATAATAATATTATTAATATTTTTATTACTTAAATAA